TGATGATGTGGAAAGGTATGCAAGAGAACATGGAGGACGAGAGAGCCCAGGCACAGGTGTAGAAGAACTCCGAGAAAAGAGGAAAGGAGAGTCTGCTGCTGAAGATCTTCCACAAAAGTATGTGAAGGTGCTCCCTCTACCTCTTGGACTGGATGATGCAGGTGAACGAGTGCCAAGAACTCCTGAGGTAAAGAGACCTCAAACTCCTCGCATTGGTGAAGAGATGAAAGATGTTGGAGAGGTTGAAGAACCAAGGAGCAAAGCGGCACGGTCCAGTCCTGAAGGAAGTCCGAGCAACCTCTATGCCCCAGCATTTGCTGGCAACATCAATGCAGCTTCATTGCCAGTGGATGATGAGCAGTGGGAGCAAGACATTGAGGAGGACAACTATGGAGGAGCAGATGAAGTCCCATTACTTGAAGTAGAAGAGGTGGATGAAGGGCGTCCTCCTGAACTGTCAGAAGAAGAGCTGCAGCAGGTGGAGGAAGAAGCAGGTCAAGAAGAGATTCAGCGGCTTCTGCAGATGGGAGTTCTGAGAGAACCTGAAGCTGATGAGTTGGCCAATGGAACAGTCCTCACTACTCGTTCAGTATTTGACTGGCGATTTCGGGAGCAAAAGTGGAAGAGAAGATGTCGTGTTGTGGCACGAGAATTTCGAGCAGGAGACAGTTCGAATTCCAAGACTTTTGCACCAACGTCTTCATTAGCTGCTACACGGCTCTTGTTGTCAACCCACACCGTTCATTGATGTGAAAGACGCATTTCTGCTGGTTGACCAAGTAAAGTTGGTTTTGGTGGAGAAACCACAATGGTGGAGGCCAGATGAACTGCAGCGCCTACATCCAGGCGAGAGAAGGTACTGGACGCTGATCAATTGCCTGCCCGGCCAGAGAGATGCAGCCGCCAGGTGGTATGACCATCTGAGCTTCCACCTTGAGGACTTGGGCTTTGAGCACCACTTGAGTCTGCCCTCACTCTTTCGCCACAAGGAGAAGCCCATAGCTGCAGTCTGCCACGTGGATGATTTGATTGTTGCAGGTGAGATGAGCAGCGTGGAGTGGTTGCTGACAGCAATGAGGAACAAGTTCGTATTGAGCGAATCCGGTATTCTGCCGGCAGAAGATCAGAAGGAAGAGGGGCCTGTCAGGTGCCTGAAGAAACGACATTTCTTCACTGCAAATGGCATTATTATCATGCCTCATGAGAAGTACATCCCGAGCTTAATGGAGATGTACAAGTTGGAACATCGAGGAGGACGTGCCACGCCTGAAAGCACTCATGTCAGCTTGGAGGGACCCCCTGAGAGGAGAAGACCAATTTCGATTTAGGTCAGCTTTGGGCACCCTCCTCTACATCAGCCAGGACAGGATTGACATCCAGCACAGCATCAGGAACCTCAGTCAGTTCATGGCCAAACCAACAAGATTGGCTGAAGCGGAGGTGAAGCACGCCATCTTGTACCTATCGAGGACTGAGGGGTATGGACTCCTCCTGCCATACCAAAAGTGTCGAAGCAAAAAGGCAGAGATCCTTGGGCAGGTGGAGGATTTGAATGGTCCTGACGCGCTGGAGAGTTTTTCTGACAGTGATTGGGCCGGAGACCAGAGCAGTTCACAACGACGACGACACAGCGTCAGTTCAACCTTCATGTTTTTGAATGGATGCCTCATTACGAGCTGGTCCAGGTCTCAGAAGACCATTGCCCTTAGTTCCTGCGAAGCAGAGTTTCTGGCAGCAGCAGGTGGCAGTGCAGAAGGTCTACAAATCAAGGGCCTATGGACCTTCATCAGTGGCCGATCAGTGGTCCTCAAGGCCATCACGGATAGCAGTTCTTGCAGAGCCTTCAGTGAGAGGTTGGAAGTTGGACGGTTGAAGCACATCGACACACGATACTTGTGGGTCCAACTCGAGATCAAAAAGGAGACGCTCTCTATGGAAGGCATCCCCACTTTATGGAATGTGGCTGACCTTGGCACCAAGAGATTGACAAAAGCTCGACGAGAATTCTTGATGTATTTGATTGGTGTGGTGGAGCTGAATGCTGAAGGTCAGGAAGAGACTTTCTCAAGAGTGGGTGAGGATAGCTTCCATCAGGAGATGGCAAAGAAGATGATGACTAGAAGGATGAAGGAGGTTCGAAAAGAGATGGTCGAGATGCTGGTACAAGAGACCTCGAACATGTCTTCCAAGGTTCCTAATGGCATGGTGAAGTTGGTGACCTTGTTGTTACTACAGCCGGGAGCCTTTGGGAGTGGAGATGACCACAACTATAACCTGGAGAAGGAGCAGTACAAGTCCAGTGGTGGCTGGACATACTTTGTGATGTTCATGGTCTACAGCATGATTGTGTTTGTCCTCGGCATGATCTGTGGCTACATGTACCGCGCCAGAGTTGGCATCTTCTTGAGAACAGTTGCACGTATCATGCGACAAGAGCGAACCAACGAGTTCATTCGAGAACAAGAACACCAAGATGCACTAGAGGCCTACCGCTCTTACCGTGGCATGGTCTTGCGCAGTATGATGGATGGTGTTCCAGGTGGAGAATGGCAGGTTGAACCCCGGAATACTTGGCCAATCCCACTACGACCTCCAGAAGGTGAAGTACCAGATCAGATTATGAGTGTGAGGCTGAGAGATGGTGAAAACCAAGAAGAAGATGATCCAGCAGCAAATGAAGTGGCTGCAGCAGAGGAAGATTCTGATGAAGGAGATGGAGAAGATTCAGACAGTGATGCTCCAAGAAATGGCTTTCTGCGTGACTACCATCCCACTACGATGGATTGGAATCCGGAACTTGGCCGGATGTGGGAATACAGGATTCTCAGTGGTCCTGAAAGTGCAGAGAGCGGAGAGGAGTTCTTTGTGGAGGACGAGAATGGAGTCCTTCGAAGGCAGTATCGCCCTACGGCATCTGAGAGGAGCGATGAAGACCTGGATTACCAGGAGATGGAAGTGGATGGTGCTGGAGAGGCAAGCCAACCACGAGAGGGTGAGATCGACAGAACAAATCCCCCTCGTGAGGCCGACTGGTGGGATATGGAGACCCTCCTTAAGTACCAGAAAGAAGAGCAGGAACGGCGTGCTCGAAAAGTTTTGTCCTACGGACTTTTTCCAGAGACACTTTTCAAAGAGTTTTTGCGCACGAGGCTTGCAGCAGAGCATGCAAGCCAGTTCCCACACATGGCCTTTGACCATATCATCCAATGGTCCCAAGAAGAGCGCACGGAGTTTGCTCATTTTGCGATCATGATCTGCGCAGAACAATGGGAGTCGGATTGGGACGGCCATGTACGTCGGTACATCGAGTCCGGCGAAGTTTGAGAAAGGTGCATGCTGAACCGCAACACCTTTAGGTGGAGTGTCAAACATTTCATTCCACTGAACTGTGTCCATACCGGCCCTAGCGGCCCAAGCTCATTTGTAGAAAAGGGTGCGCGCTTCCGCATTTTGACAAGATCAATGGCATCACCCGCAAAGAGATCCAGGCCGGCATCACAACACCAGTGCTAAGCAGCAGGGCAAGGAACAAAAGCTTGCCCGTCAGAAAAAATTCAAGACGGACAAGAATGGTGTCAACGAGCGCCTGTTGAGCCCACAGGAGAGAGCCATGTTCAAAGAGGCCCAGGTGAAGGAACTGAAAAACTTTTTCGACCACCACGTTTGGGTCTTCGAGGCGACGAAGGAAGCTGATCCTACCCGGACATTGACAAGCAGACTTTGGCAACCTGGTGCTAGGAGGAAGTTTGCGGCAAGAATTGACCGCCTGGCATGACGCCTTTGAGACCCTCCAGTACTGACACCACCACCGGTGTCGATTGCACGCTGTGCAATAGGTTCTTGACCTGTCAGGTCCATGCTCACTAAGGATGCCCATCCGCAGGGTGGGCTCATGCAGCTGAAAAGCGCTCACGGCCGCGATCGCATCCGCGATCATCCAATTCGCTCGTTGTGGTTCGTACTCGTACTGTTCCACACTTCAACACGGTGTTCTTCGGCAACATCCGCTGTTTCCACATATATAATAGCAGATTCAATTACGCAATGCCTGTAACGGGTTCCAACGTGAGTAAAATAGAAACATGGAACCATCAGCTTCTTCAAGCGAAGGGAGGTTCTTCGCACAATAAATTTGTGAGGTTCAACAACACCAGTTGATCAGAAGGGCTTTTCGGATGTTGATTTAAAGTTCCATTGTTTGAAATGTTTTTGGATATTTCTGGCCGGTGCTGCGTGCCACAGATCATGCTGACCTGCCCTTGCGCCATCCATTTGCATGTGGAAATTTGTGGGTTGTCCGAGCAGTGCAACTCCTTAACTTAGCAGAAATGAAGCGAAAAGGCGTGATACATACAAGGAACACATCTATGAACGATGAGATGGATTGAGAAATATGGGGTGTGGGTGATGATTTGGAATTTTGTCATGCAGGATGTGTTCATAAAGGGTAGGGTTCATCATGCCGATAACATAATGGACTCCATTTTTGTTACTGCAATACATCGTGTTTGTGAAAAGATTGGGGAAACGAATGCGCTATGAACATTTTGCACGACAAAGGAAGGCTTTGGACATTAGGTTTTTGGAAAGCGTGTTGATTTTGTTGTGCTTTCTACTTGTGAAGCTATGTTTTGGCCTACTTGTCCGGCGTTTTGTGTTTCATTGACCTTTTAGAGAGTTTGCGTTCAGAACCGGTGGTGGGTAGCAAGATGTTACAATCGTGCAACTCGTGACTGCAGCTGTGCCGGGTTCAGGCGAATTTTGAGCACACATTGACATTGATATTGCCTCCAGCCAACCCCACTAGCGAATCAGCTTGGCAAAGTTGCAACATGAACATGTATCGCGTGTTTGGCAATTAGGCGGCTTTAGAACAAAGACATGCCACAAACAAGACCATGTTGATGAAACGGAGTTAAACACATTGCATTTGTGGGGACCTCGCTCAGGTGCCACCGCCCGGTTGGTTGTTTTTGTTTCGCTTGAGGCATGTGACCAATCTAATCATGAATGAGCGAAAACATGGATGATGTGTGAGTGTGTCGCAAGAAATTTCGCTTGGATTCTGTTCACGAACGGCATGCCTTCATGTCCTGCCGTTCGTTGGCTCAGGGGTTTATTTGGATTTTAGTTGCCTGTTGCTGTGGTCCCTTGTTGACTCCATGCCAACGCTGCCTGATTTGGGCTTGGAGGCTGATGGACTTCCTTCAGTTGACTTCGCCATCAGGTCGCCAAATGTCGAGGAGACATCATCAGAGGAGGGGTCGATTCATGCGGACTACGCAGCTGACGCACCATCCAGGCGTGAGGCTGGCGGCTATGTTGATGAGATCCAGCTCACCGAGATGGATGCGCCAAGTTCCCCGGGTCCTGAAAAAACCAGGGGTGTGCCAGGGTCACCGGCTCCCTTAGGTTTGGAAAGTGAAGCACTTATGGGCAATGGACAGGTGCGAAATGACAGTGCGGCTCTCAATGCCATGCCATCCCCAGTTCGAGGTCGCCGATCTCTTTCCCCACCACGAGGAGCAGAACGGTCCGAAGCTCATGACGCCTGCTCCGACACCCGCCAGGGGCGCACTTTGGACTTGATGGATGACAGCATCATGGGAGCGTCTCCTCGGACTGAGGAATCAATGGATTCACTGGCTTCCTTTTTTGAAGATGGCCACTACCATGTTCCACTCCACGTGCCTGCGGGAGATGAGCCACTCACAGAGCCTAGTCAACAGCAGCGGGACTGCCATTCTGGTCGAGATGATGAGTCTCATCACGTTCATTGCTGCCAACATGGCGTGCCTTGCACAATTTCCTTTCCTAGCCCAGTGGCGCCAGCAGGACCTGGGTCAAGCGTCGGGCCACCTCAATTTGGGCGCTACGTGCATGAGACAGCCGTAGAAGTGGCGACTGCAACACCACCCGATTCGCAGGACCTACTACGTGCACGAGTTCCTCGCATTCCTGCCCCAACAGCTCACGAGTCTTTGGCCGAACTTCCAAGTTCGAGCTTGAGCCCCAGGAACCATGCTGCGCCATCCAGCGCCCCAATGTGTCGCAGCGGCAGCATGCCAGAAATCCCAAATGATTCGGCACAGCATGGAGTTGCCTATGCGGATGCTTCATCTCAAGGAGGAGCTGGAGCAGCCTTTGAACGCACAAGTGCAGGAAGATCGCGCCCAGCAGCTCCTGCACCGGAAGCACATCCACCCAGGATTCAAAGTGCAGGACCTATGCCAGCAGATGCTGAAGGTGGAGGCCGATTTGGCGCAGAAATGAGGACTGAAGGTCAAGCATTCCCGGCAGCAAGTGGGTATCGCCCAGGATTTTCTGGGCATCCCATGGTGGCTGGCATTGCACCACAGAGTCGAGGATGTGGCGGCCCATCTCCTGTATCACACCCGCTGAATCACGCGGCCATACCGTTCCAAGCACCTCAGTCCTTCACAGCGTCAAGGGTACCATTTCATCAGGACATTTCTGGAGTTTTGCCGGCGGTCCACCCTTCAATGGTAGGAGCAGTTTCACCAGGACAAGCTTTGAGCCAAGGTCCAATTTCAACGCCTCAGCTTCCACCAGGGCAAAGACCAGGTGTTGCTATGCCGTGGGCAATGCCCTCACCTCATGTTCCGCAGAGCCATGGTTCATTTCCTATGCACACCACCTTTCCAGGACCGATGCCACCTGTGCAAATCGGGGCCGCTGGACATGGTGGAGTTGCCCGAGTTGCCACAGCAAATGAAGCAGGAGCACAGGCGCTGCCAAGAGAAGGGCTGCGGACCACTGGGCCAATGCCCATGGAAGCTGACTCGCCTTTGGCTGGTCAAGGGCATGCACGCACGGAGCTTGGATCAGGTATCAATAGTGGTTCTGGTGTTGCTCCTCCTCCTTCTGGTCCTTGTTTTAGTGCGGCCGGAGCCGCACAAGTGCTCAGGACAGAAGCGGCGATGCCAGACACAAGGCCTTCAGCTGCACGTGTAGTGCCTCCAGCTGCTACACAGGTATCACAGACAGAAGGCCGTCTTCCTCCAGCTGAACGGGAGCCACAGACCGAAGAAAGGCCTCAGGAGCATGCAGTGCAGAACCTCAGCCAGGGTCAACTATTCTCGCAGGAGGGCGCATCGGAAGCGGAAGACATGCGCCACAGCTTGGAAGTGGCAGGGTCTCCTGCGCAGTTCCTGTCGCCAATTGCACCTTCTTACCTTCCTGATGTGAACAGCGCTGAGGATGCTTCACGTCAGTTGGAAACACCCCCCCCACATCGAAACGATGGAGAGGGGACAGCAGACAACTCCAGAAAACCCACGTTTGAAAAGAAAGCGGGGACAACAGGAGCCAATTCGACTGCCAAAGGAGGGCGGCTACAAGCTGGTGCAAGTTGACATGGACGAGGTTCATAGCTGCAACCAGGCTGGAAGGCCAAAGAGAAAGCAGATAAGGGTGTTGAAGAGCTGGCAAAATGAAAGAGTGGTTTACCAACGGACGGCTGGATCTGCTTGTCCAACTATTTGTGGTGTGATGGTTGCCCAGCCTGTGGAGAAGGACCATGAAGCTATTCCTTTACAACTCCACCTTGGTGAAGATCCAATTCAAAAGGCAGTGGCATCCATGCAGGACAAGGGCTGGAGCCCTGTGCCAAGCAATCGATCTGACTCAACCTTCATGTTTGGACAAAGTGAGGAGGAGAAGATGAATGGTGAAGTTGCCGCTGATGTGCCGGACCCCAAACCAGTCAGATCTCACGGTTCACACTTGAGAAGTGTTGAGAGGATGGCGGAGGTGGCCAGCGATGCAGCTGCTGCCACTCTTGCAGAGGCTACTCCTCCTCGTGCTCGGTCCAGTCACACCACGTCGGGCTTTGTCCGCGTTCCCATCGCAGCTGGCTCTGCACATGCTTGCGAGATCAAGGTTGGCATAGACAATGGACACTGGATGAGTTGTGACATCAAGATCCCTCCAAGGTCTTTCAATACGCCAGAGGAGCTGGCTGCAAGCAGATCACTCTTGATCTACGTTGCGCATTGCCAAGAGGGCACTTTTTCGGCAGCTGTGGATGGGAGCCTAGTGACCCTTGCAACAGGCAGCTCAATGGTCATTCGGCCAGGGCAGGCATATTGCCTCAGAAATGATTCTGACACAGTAGCTGCCCGCTTGAAGATGGTGCTGATCAATTCGCGAAGGAGCGGAATGTGATGGGTTTCTGGATGAACCGACGATCCTGTCTTTGACAGCATGAGCACCTCAAGGGGTCATGGTGCCGGAACATTCGGGGTGGCAGGCGATCGGAAAAGAGTAGCAGTGCCGTGCCATTGCCGACAACAGCGCTTGCATATGAGCCCTTTTGTGTTGGACAAGAAAAGCTGCTTTTCGGCAGTGACATGTGCATTGAATAATTGAAGGTTCGAAGCCCTGAATTGCCAAGGTCATCACATCGACGACTTGTTGCCAAGATCCACGTTTGGTGAGTCAGTCTGTGCCTTGCAAGAAGATCAGTTCATTTCAAGTCTAAAGGTTCAATTTGCCTCTTTGCTTGCTTACTTGTTTGCTTGTTTTGTTTTTGACTGTGCTTAAGCTCAGCCCTTCTTGTGGTATGTCGGATCTCAGATCTAAGAGGGCTACTGCTGCAAGTTTTGTTGGATCTTGATAACTTTGCTTGTCTATTGTTCCCACGCCCTGCAATATTAACAATGTACAGAAGTCAAATGATACAGGTGCAATGAGATCAAAACACACCAGTTGGAGTTCATATTTATATATATATCTATATAAATATGAATGTGTGTCGTCGTTTTTTCTCTATGATATCCGAAGCGGGTCAGGGAGTCTTTTTGCCTCGAAGACGTTCCAGTCTTTATTTGTGGGAAACTGGCTTTGCTTACCAGATGTGACATGGAGTTGCATTATCCAGGCCAGAAGTGCATTTACATTGACAAATATAGACAGAAGTATGAAAGCCTCAACAGATCAGGCCCCATAGACACAGTCAAACAAAAAGTAGAGCTCCCTCGCTCCCCCAAAAAGCAGAGAGCTCAGAGATGAAATTACATTTGTTCATGTCCCTTGCAAAGACGCACAGCCCTCCAAAAGAAGATCCGTCTCAACATATGAAAGTTATCCAAAGCATCACCTAGCCTCCTTGGCAAGGAGTTGCTGGATTTTCCTCACACACTTATGGATATGCGTACGGACTTGACAGCGGTGCCACACGCCGGCCTAAGTGAAACAACCTTAGGAAACAAGGCAAGTAAAGGTAAAGTTAAATTAGAGGCCATCGCTAGAAGTTGGAGGCCATCACCCAAGTTTGGAGGCTAAAGTACCGAGTTTACAGCAAGCATGTGCACCGCAAGCAGCAGCGAGCATCTGTGCCCACCCCAGCTCTGCAGACTGGATAGGAATGCATCCAGTCGTGCAGAGTGGACGCGCCGGCCCTAAGGGCAACCGGGATATAAACTACTAGAAGGGCACCACAAATAGGAAGAGGCCATAGCGACAAGGTTGGAGGCCTGCGCAATAGGGCAGCAAAAAACAACAACAAAGCCAAAAAAAAACTGGATTGTGACTCCAAAGGCTGCACTGCAACATCGTGAAACACTTCAAGATTTGTGCGTGTCATTCCCTGCAACAACGTGGTACACTTCAAGATTTGTGAGTGTCATCCTTCAAACTTCAAAAGAATCCCTGTGACTACAAGGGGTACACACACACACGCCTCCCCGAGGGGAGGCGTATTGAAGGTGCGGACAAAGTAGTAGTAAGGCCAGGAACCTCTAGAAGCGTCAAAGTAGCATCCTAGCACCTAGTAGGAAGGCCAGGAGCCCCTAGTAGCATCCCAAGCTAAGGTCCTGACAGGAGGGAGGGGTAGGGAGAGACGAGAAAAAGGAAAGAAAAGAAAGGAACGTGTTCCCAGCTACGACGCATGCGTCCAAGGACTCACCAAAGGAAGAGAGAAGAAGGGTTCCCAGCTATGACAAAAGCATCCGGGGACACCCAAGGAGGAAGGAAGGTGAAGAGAGGAAAGAAAGAAAGAAAGAAAGAAAGAAAGAAAGAAAGAAAGAAAGAAAGACAGAGAGGGAGGGAGGGAGGGAGGGAGGGAGGGAGGGAGGGAGAGAGGGAGAGAAAGGGAGAGGAGAGAAAAGGAAAAGGCAGGTGTTCCCAGCTACGAACAATCGTCCAGGGACACACCAAAGAAAGAGAGGGGTGATCCTGAGTATTCCATTCAGGAAAATACCAAAAAGCAAAGAAAGAAAGGGGGAGGGAAGGGGAAGGAGGGGGGACTAAGCTCTCAACAGGTTCCAATGAACCTTGAACAAACTTCGGTCGCTGCGACCACGTACGGCATGCCCGAGGGCGGCCACCTCTGACCGCTGCGGTCACGTAAAGGCATGAGCCAATTTGGAATTCAAATTCAATACTGTGAATTCGTCAAGTCTTGGCAAATAACTTTGGCGTAAGCCTCCTACGCCCGCTCTGGGCACGTACATCTCCGGGCAGGGGAGATAACGACAGACACCCGTTCGACGGGTCCACGGGAGGCACTCTACGGGTTCATCCCGGACTCTCAATAGGAGAGACACACTTATGGATATGCGTACGGACTTGACAGCGGTGCCACACGCCGGCCTAAGTGAAAAAACCTTAGGAAACAAGGCAAGTAAAGGTAAAGTTAAATTAGAGGCCATCGCTAGAAGTTGGAGGCCATCACCCAAGTTTGGAGGCCAAAGTACCGAGTTTACAGCAAGCATGTGCACCGCAAGCAGCAGCGAGCATCTGTGCCCACCCCAGCTCTGCAGACTGGATAGGAATGCATCCAGTCGTGCAGAGCGGACGCGCCGGCCCTAAGGGCAACCGGGATATAAACTACTAGAAGGGCACCACAAATAGGAAGAGGCCATAGGGATAAGGTTGGAGGCCTGCGCAATAGGGCAGCAAAAAACAACAACAAAGCCAAAAAAAACTGGATTGTGACTCCAAAGGCTGCACTGCAACATCGTGAAACACTTCAAGATTTGTGCGTGTCATTCCCTGCAACAACGTGGTACACTTCAAGATTTGTGAGTGTCATCCTTCAAACTTCAAAAGAATCCCTGTGACTACAAGGGGAACACCACACACACATATATATATATATAGATTTGGATTCACAGGTAGGAACCCCCTAAAGGAGAGCCCCTGCCCTCAAACCCTATGGCGCCCCTTTTCTAAGCTCCATGCCTCGAGCAGTAGGGTTGCCTATATACGACGAATGGGTGACACACTGCTTTCACACTCCACATATTCTCTCTAAAATTGCAGATCTGTTCAACTCCTGTAAGTTTCTGCTGGTGCGTCTTCTGGGAATGGCAGTGCTCTGACCTTGTGCCTCACTTTCGCTCACGCTTCTCTGTCGATCCAGCGAATGTCACAGCTGCATCTGAGCTTCGGTTGATGCTTTCGGAGAAATTAATGCGCTCCAGATATGGCCGCTTGATCACCGAACCGGCCGTCTCGATGAAGACCATGGCCTTGTACCCAACACAGGTACTTGTGGTGATCCTTCTGAGCCACCAACTCCTTGTAGCTCAAACCCAAGCACTCACCTTGGGGAGGCGGCACACTGTGGTTCCCCAGTCCTCAACGCTTGACACTCCGACGGGCAGTGGAATCTTGAGGTTCTCACCCTTCTTCTCTGGCTTGAAGGAGACTTGCTTGGAGGTACTTCCGGCCTCCAGCCGTTCCTTTTCCAGTGACACTTCCTCTGAAGCATAGGTCACTGGCTCCCAAGCTTCGTCGAGCTCCATGTCATGCTGGTCCCTCAGGCGTTTTGAGCTGTCGCTCATTGCCCCATATCCAGCAGTCAACTCATGATCCCGGACTCCTGCCTTGTGAGCTCTTGCTACAATGGCCTGTGCCATAGCAAGCTCTTCGGGTGTCACTGGCTTTGAGGAGGATGCCATGTCTGACTAAGAGAAACACGGCCCAACACCACTTGGAACGAGAAGCGAATCTTGAGGTCTCGCAAGGCTGCCGATCTATCGTCGTTGGCATGTCAACAACAAGTTGACCTATTGAAAGACATCGGAATGAAAATGTCTCGATCTGTACATGCACAACTAATGAAACTGTACATGGAGGTTCAACTTCAAACGACCGAACAAACTCGTCACTGTGCTGCTGCAGTATCCCTATACTAACCCACAATGTTTGAGACTATCAGTCTGAAGAAACACTCTTAAACAGACATTAACGAAAATAGCAAAGATTCATTTAGAATCTCTGTCATTGGCTTTGGCTCTTTGGTGTGCAATCTGTCGTCTCCTCTCTCGTTCTTCCCTTTTCCTGTCGAGAACAGTTTGTTCATCGGCTAGCTGGTATCTGGCCGAGCGAAGGCGAAGGACGGAGCGAAGCAAATCCATTGGTTCTGCCTTGTCTTTGGTGAGTCCGTCCGCTAGCATGTGGCCAGTCGGAACCCAACGAGCCTCCAAACCTGTGCGTCTAATCGATTGCCGAATGATGGCTACATCAATGGCTGTTCTACGATCATCTACTGTTCCCCCCCGAACCTAATGAATGCAAATGATCGAACAATGAACGACAGTCAGTCATTCTTATTGGTGTCCTTCTCAACAGAACTTCTTCTGCATCTTCCAACATGAATGGTCCATCTAAGTATTCAGCTGTCATCAAGGCAATCCACTCGCACACCCCGGCGGCCGTTGAATAGGCCTGAGCCTCTCCTCCCATGGTCGAAGCTACAACCACATCTGCACCCTGCCTCATCTGATTCGAGGTGAAGCCTACGATCCACCCTCCCTGAGTTTTGAGTTCTTCAGTGTTTGCAAAAGCAGCATCCGACCAAAAACACAGAGTAAGTTCTTCTGGAGGAATAAATGGCACTCGAATCTTGAGGTCAGATTGTCGTCGTGCACGGCGAACAGCCTGATTGGCTTGGAGAAGATCAAAAATCGTTGGTTTAGGAAAGCACTGCTGACTTTGCGAGGTCTGCACGGCAATGTCAGGCCTGGTTTGGGTGCTTAACCAACTCAAGGCACCATTCACTGCTCTCAGCGCCGACACTTCTTGGGGATTAGCTGGCAACGACGAACGTTTGGCTCTTTCTTTGCTGATCTTGATAGGCTGGATGTGTTCAGCATACTCCTTCTGGCCAAAACTAATCTCGAAACTCTGAGGACCTTGTTCAAAAATGGTGCCTAGAAATTCCCCGGTGCCTGAACGCCATTTCCGAAAATGAAAACGAGCTTTCAGCTTTTCTATGGCAGCAGTGTATGTCTTACCCTCTCCACCTGTGATTGTGTCATCAACATGTGCTCCTTCTAGACGTCCATCGGCTCCAAAAAACAGGTACAAACAATTGT